TTATTTAGAACTTAAAGCAAAATTATTTATTCAGATACAACCTTTATTTTAAATAATTTATTGGGACTAAATATTAGTATTGCTACAATAAGTTTTAGCATGTAGCAAAAACTAATGGTTAGCTACGAAATTTTATCATATCAAAAGATCCGTGGCTATATCATGTCTTCATGACAAATAATCATAGCTTTTAAATCAACTATTGCCACGATATTTTATAACTTGAAGCAAAAATATTTATTTTAGCTACAATAGTTTGTTTCAAAAAATTAATTGTAGCTAAAAGATTACTTTTGCTACAATAACTTTTAATGTGTGGCAAAAACTTATGATTAGCTACGAAATTATACCGTAGCAATAAATTTATAGCTATTTAGGTAATTGTTGCCACGATAATTAGCAACCATAGCAAAAATGAGGAATTAGCTTTGTCAATTTAATTTTTTTGGCTAAGAAATTTTACGAATTTGTAAAAAGCGACGCAACTCTAATTTTTGTGGCTATTGTTAGGTACTAGCCACGAAATTTAGATTTGTAGATGAGATTTTGTAGCTATAAATGCATTATGTTTTAGTGACTATTGATAAAACTATAGACTGCAGGACAAAACTTTATCATGTTTTGGTATGAAGTTTTAGCAAATAAACTAAATAACTCCAGCATGCATTAGAAAAAACTAATTAAAAAATTACATACCGCAAGACAATAACTTAAGCATGTTTAGTCCGAAGTTTTAGCAAATGAACTAAAAAACTCCAGCTTGTTTAGACTAAAGTTTCGGATAAAACTCATGACAAAACTGTAGACTGAATGACAAATTTTCAGCATGTGTTTGGTATGAAATTTTAGCAAAGAAACTAAATAACTTCAGCATGCATTAACAAAAACTCATTAGAAAATTACATACTGCAAGACAAAAATTTAAGCATGTTTAGTCTGAAGTTTTAGCAAATGAACTAAATAACGTAAGCATGTTTAGTCTGAAGTTTTAGCAAATGAACTAAATAACGTAAGCATGTTTAGTCTGAAGGTTTAGCAAATGAACTAAAAAACTTAAGCATGTTTAGTCTTAAGTTTTAGCAAAAGAACTAAATAACTTAAGCATGTTTAGTCTGAATTTTTAGCAAATGAACTAAAAAACTTAAGCATATTTAGTCTGAAGATTTAGCAAATAAACTAAATAACTTCAATATGCATTAGCAAAAACTCATTAGAAAATTACATAAAAATTTAAGCATGTTTAATCTGAAATTTTAGCAAATGAACTAAATAACTTAAGTATGTTTAGTCTGAAATTTTAGCAAATGAACTAAATAACTTCAGCATGTTTAGACTGAAAATTCGGATAAACTCATGACAAAACTGTAGACTGCGGGATAAATAACTTCAGCATGCATTAGCATGAAGTTTTAAAGTCTTAGCTTCAATGTGAAACAATTTCATACTATATTAGCATAAAGTTTTTGCTTCAACATGAAACAACTCCATGCTATATTAATATGAAGTTTTAGTTTCAAGGTGAAAGAATTTCATGCAAATGTGATTCTGAAGATGAATCTGAACAAGTTTCTATTTTTTATAATAAAGTTGTTGAGAGGAGAGGAGGAGATCTTTTTTCACGAATGAGGTTGCAGATCACGCGATTAATGTGTGATGCAGGTTTTATATTTTTTGTCAGGGGTGTAATTGTCATATTATTACGGATTTTTTATCAGTTGGCTACCAAATCAATAATTTTTAAAAATAGAATACAGATTAAAATATGCTACAAATATAAAATACGAGTGTAAATCCCCCATTTTTCTCAATGCACAGATTTTTCTCCTCTTGGGCCGCCAACAACCTATAGATTGAACTTAGCCTAATTTTGAAGTATTAGATAAATAAGTACTATTTTTTTTTCTACCCATGGTATGTTTTCCTTCTCCATATAACTTATTTTCTCTTTTTACGTCTTCCCCCCACTACTTTCCTTTTCCCCATATCTTTCTCCCCTCTCTCTCTCTCCAATTTGCATTCATATTTTATTTATTTATTTTGGTTACTTAACAGTTAGCAAGTCAATTTTACAAAGACACTTATATAAATTTGGACATGCATTTGTTCACTAGCTCAATTCATTTAAATTCAGTCCCTCTTCTTATATTTATCTCTTTTCTTATTTCTTATTGATTCATTTTGTAATTTTGAGCTATTAATTTAAAAAAACTTAAGAAATGCAATAATTTTGCTTCTTCTTATTATTTTAGTTTATGTGACTGCTTCTTCTTATTCATCATCTTTTTTATTATTATTCGGGTCCTAATGGTATTTTATAAATAAAGATCTTTTGAAGTGGGTATTGGCGGTGAGTTAAAATTTTAATGGTGATTGGAAGATACAATGTAACTTCATATAAAAGTTTTATATACATAGAATCTAAAAATTATATATGCACTATTATATTTATATAGTTATATTTTGTNATATATATATATATATATATATACACACACACACACACACACACTCTATTATATTTGTATAAATTTTTGTATATAAAGTGTATCATATATTTTTCAGTGTATATTATAAAAGTTATATTCCAACTGAAGTTGTGTACATACACGATGATTTTATTACAGTTTTGTATAAAGTTGTATTTTATTTTTTTAGCAATGTATAAATATCCCAAGTTTGCTAGTATATCCTTAGTGTATATTGAGTGTATTTTGAGTGTGCTTGTGTATCCAAAGTGCATATTGAACGTATCCCGTGTGTATTTTTGTATCATGAGTGTATAATCTGTCCATACAATGTACCAAAACTGTATGCACATTGTGTATTGACTAGTGTATAAACAAAATGTATATAAATTATATACACATTTTTGATGTATAATGTGTACACGTAATGTATCTAGAGTGTATCATGAGTTTCGTAATGTATCCCCAATATATCATTAATATATCCCGAGCATTTTTTATGTATCCTAAATGTATAAATTGTTCTATAATGTATAAAAATTATATATATTATTCTATGACGTGTAAAAAGCGTATATACATTTTATACAAGGGTGCACATGAACTGCATGTAGTGAAACATCTAAAAGATTCCGTCTTTGTAGTATAAATTGTATAAAAATAGCACGGACTAGCCAATTTTTGGACTGCTAATTGAAAAATAGCCAACATTTGTAAAGTCATTGAGAAGTAGCCACTATTTTACTGAAATACGGAAAGTTCCAATATAATATGCTGGATTATGGAGTTCCGGCATATAAACTTCCAGCATATTATGTTTGAACTTCAACACACAGAAAGTTCCAGCATAATATGCTGGATTTTGGAGCTCCTGCATATAAACTTCCAGCATATTATGAAATTCCAGCAGATTATGTTGGAATCTCATATGTAAAAAATTCGAACTCCAGCATATTATACTGGAACTTTTGCGAATTTTTAGGGTGTTTTGTTCAGATTTTAACTTCACATGAAAAAGCGGCTAAATTCCGGTTACTTTTGAAACTGTGACTATTTTTCAATTACCAATTGTAAATCTGACTATTTCTGATTTTTCCTCAATTTCATTGGCTAGCCATTAGAATTTGTTTTGGGCTATAAAATGTATGTTGTAATTTGTGGCTAGCGGCTGATATAAGTTTCTAGCAGATTGCTAGTTATGATTTTAGGCGAAGTGCAAATGGCCACTTTTAGGCCCCGCTATTTAAAATATATTCACAATTTATAGTGTATTTAAGGATTAGCCAATTCACCCAAACTTCAGGATTAGGTTTCCTGAATTTGAAAATTCAGGACTTAGTATCCTGAATTTTTTAGCTAAATTGTCCTGAATTTTTGAATTACTAATTTAAAATTCAGGACATAAGATTCAAACTTTTAGACATAATTTTTGAACTTTAGGACACGATGTCCTGAAGTTTGAACTTTGAGGTTTAAATTCTAGGACGTTGTGTTATGAAGTTTAAGCAAAATTGACTAATCATTAAATACATTATAAACTGTATATATATTTTAAATAACGCGATTAAAAGTGAGGTATCATTTTTCCTCAAAATCTTGCATCCAGGAGATTTGACTTGATGCCTTTAATGGTACCAATCATGGGTTTTAGGGTCTATTTATCTCACTATCATCTCGTCAGCCGTAAACAGACTTTATTGTTTGTGGTCAAATTACGACTTCAATTGAATTACATTTAAAAGATCTCCATAGATCAACTATACTTTTCACAAATTATTTTAGGTTCGTATCTTCGTTTCAATTTCTTTTCTTTTTTTTCTTACTTCTTTTTTAGAATCTTCTATCATAACATCAGAGATTAATAAATTTTCATGCAATGAGTCAGAAAGCATTGTCTTGATAGGCTCGTAGAATTTGACTTGTAAAAAGTGATTGTGTAGTATACAAGAAATCATATTTGATATTTCGCGTCCACAGGAATACAAGGTTAACGTGTTGATACAAGTTAGAGTATGACACAATACGTTAATGGATTACAAATTCATAGTAGCTAAGATAATTAGGTAAGAAGGAAGCAAAAGAAACTTATTTTCATCTGCAACATGTGCTAGTTGACTGGAATTTATATGATTACATTTTTCCTAAAATTAAATAACGGTAGTTAAGAAATCACCTACCTTTCTTGTCTCTACTGAAATTTCGAACCCACATGTTTACTGATCTGTACCTACAATTTACGTTAACCTACTTTTGTCGGTCAAATCTCAGCAGGGAGAATGAGCACAGAGTCTAAGGAAAGACCACCTTTAGTGTGGGTGCAATCAATTTGAGTCATTGAGAATTTTAACTTTGTTGGCATGGTAGAATTTTCCACCACAAAATCTCCCACATGATATTGTGTCCATTTTCCTGGCTCATTCAAATAATATTGTGCAGTGGCAAGCTGACCATTTGATGATGATAATTGAAACTGCACCGGTTTGATATTCCATCCATGGACTTGTTCAACATTGCAGATTCGTCGGCCTAGTACTTTTCTCGAGTTTTTTCCCAGCTGCAGACGAAAGAATAGGCTGTATTTCCCTACTGGGAATTCGAATTCCAGGTTTCCTTCCACTTCTACCCACCATATTTGTTTAAGAAATGCAACTGTACCGAATCTGTGGATTTGATAATATATTTGTATAGTCAGGATTGGTTGGGAAAACGTTATATGTATAAACCAAGTTATTATACATAAAAAATAAGAACAAAGTGGAAAGAGATTACTATATTATAATCTTGAAAGCTTATCAAAAGGATATATGTAGAACCGGTTTTCATTTTTCTCAAACACATGTATTTGACTTCTTATATACATAAGAGCATCTTTACATGGGATGACAGCTAATGCTGAGCTGAAAAATGGTAACCAAATAAAGAATTTGTCGTGTAAATATGCACGCTAGACCTAATACTGAAAAGATGTACAACTTATATGCATTGAAGAGTAAAATTGTTTTACACTATTAATCACGTATTTTAACATGATGTAGCAGTAACCTTTTTTTATAAACAGTTACTTGTAGACAGTTATAGTTATCTTTTAGGTAAAATGATAATGTAAATATATACTGTAATTTATCAAATTAAACTCATGATTTGGAAAAAAATCTTTTTTGTTTTTCTGTTCTTTGAGGCAAAACTCATAGTTCCCTCTTTCAACATGTTGATTCAGATGTCAAATTTCATTCCTTCAATTATTAGAGCTTGATCCTGCGGTTTGCTGGCAACAGTCCACAGTATGTTTTACTAGTAGTAAACTTTTTCTTGGCACGTTATCTCCAATATCAAAGAAACCAATAGTATAAAGTGTTAAAATAATTATGCGCTAGTCAAACAAACTATACATGAAAAGTTAAAAAAGATAGAATGGTATCCTTGGAAGGATCACTTCTTTGACAGCTTGAGATGCATCATTTCCACCTCTAATTTAATTTATTTCTTTTCTTTTAAGTAACTCAACTCCTAAAACTCAAATTCTTGATAATAAAGGGCACGATTAATTCGGATTTGTTATAGAAAGTAACACGTTAATTAGAGGTAAAGGGCTACTTACCACAGACTTTATTTCTAAAGCTCCAACTTTAGACCTCTAGTTAACCCGAGGCCTTACCATAGCGATTACTTTCATTTGTGCTCTACATAACAGACGTTTTTTTTTTACATGTACGGCCTTTTAATTTCATAGTGCTTCTGGCCTGACGAATATCAGCAGCATTCATATTCCATAATCAAAGCCATCTCGATCTAATTCCTTCATTTACTATGTAAAATTAAAGTAATGCTACCATATATGTTAAATTAAAATTGAGAAGTGCTGATTTAACTGAAAGTCAGAGAATTAATGGAAAAACCTTGATTCATCAGAAGAGTTATGGCTCCAGTATCTCCTGTCTTCTATGCCTGTTATCTTCATTTCCTTCCACGATATACACACACATATCCCTCTATTCTTTTCCAGCCAAAACGTCTGCAATAATGATATTAGAAACTGTACGTACTACAATTAACGTTAAACCAAGGTGGACGAAACAAGAAGAAAGCAAGAAATTAGAATAACATAAGTAGGACTCCTAGCTACTACACATTTTGTGAAGAAGAGTTCTTGTAAATTCTATTTCACAAAAAGTACGGTTTATTCAATTAAAAAAAAAGTTAAGATTTTTCTTCTACTCTATCTGTTCCAATTATTTGAAAGTCAAATTTCTTAATTTTAGCAATAAACATTACACGAGAATAGATCGAGCTGAGAGATCCCAAAGACTGAGTCGTAGGTACATACCTTGTTTTTGCTAGTGCCAAAATGATTAGGACGACATAACCTGGCAAACATCTCTTTCTTGGTTAAGCTGTAGGAACATGAACCTTCGTCCCAGAGGTTTTTCACAAGAATTCGATAATTTTCAGGCAACTTTGTTTCCCAGACAACATCAGTCAAGGAAGCTTGACGGAATGTTGTATTCACGCTAGCAAATTTACAGATCTCAGTGGGGTCGAGGTGCGTAAGGACCAAAGCTATGCAGCTCTCCGACAAGTCTTCAAGTCCAGGCTTTGAGGAACCATCACTTGTTAATTTCTCATGATCCGCCAAGCTAGAAAATCCAGCCCCCATATGCAAATTTAGCAAATAAAACTACTAGAATGGAATCATAAAGGGGCCGGGCTTTTATGAGAAGAAAATATAGAGATTAAGTAATTAAAGCTAGCTACTAATTGGGATGGTATCAACAATTGAGTAAAGAAGAAGGGCGAAAAGAACTAGTACTAAAGGAACTGGGAAAGGGAGAAAGTATGCTTTTGGAATTCAAGACTTTTCAACTTTATAATAAAGTGTATATATATCAGATAGGATGCATGCTCCAAAAACCAAAACAAAGTTTGGAGCATAGTGTCACAGTAATAAGTATGCAGGTCACCCTGGGAACATCTGTGAAGGGGTCTTGTGTCATTTTGTCTCGCACTTTTATGAGTTAGCAGACATATTGATCGGGAGCATCAAATTCTACGTTATCCATGTATCTTGAGACCTTTTAAATTTATTTTATAAAATATTTATACTAATAACAAAATTTGCTTTCTAAACAACAAATTAATCAGACAAAAAATAGCGGATTTAAAAGAAGAAAAAAATAGCAAGAGGTCCACAAATTTTGGTTTGTTTATCATCACAAACAAGAAAAAGAAATAAACGTACATAATGTAATAACTTAAGTTTTGAGCATTAACGGTGTCAAAAATATTTACTTCTTCTGATCAATTTAAGTTATAATTGTAGTTCATTATATTAAGTAACACTTATTAGTGAATATCTAAAATAAATCGTAAATAACCTATTATAATATGTCGAATTGCACTAAAAGAAACCGGTGTATGGATACTTTTGTGTTCATGCAGTTTCAGAAAATATTGGAAAAGAAATTCATTACGTTGTCAATATACTAATTAATCAGTGAAGACAATTATCATAATTTATAAATTTATTGGTATAAAATAACCTCAATCAAATAACAAAAAAAATATTGTAACACTTTTCTTTATAGTACTTATTTGTATAAATTATATAATAATAATAATAATAATAATAATAATAATAATAATAATAATAATAATAATAATAATAACAACAATTTAAAATAAATTTGGGGCCTTCAAATTTTGGGGGCCTAAGGCAATGGCCTCACTGCCCAAGCCTTTAGACCCGGACTTGTTCTCAACCATGGTTAAGTTAACATAGGCGGATCTAGAATTTTAGATGGGTAAAAAATGGCAGTCCGTGCACTAAGCTCCCGCTATGCACGGGGTTCGGAAAAGGGCTGGACCACAAGGATCTATTGTACGCAGCTTTACCCTGCATTTTCACAAGAGGTTTTTCACGGCTCGAACCCATGACCTCCTGGTCACATGACAACAACTTTACCAGTTACATCAAGGCTCCCCTTCAATTTTTAGATGGGTACACCACAAAAAAAAGAGGAAAAAAATACTATTAAGTGAGATTTGATTCCTATTCCTTTGGGTAAACAACTTAGTATTCAAACAAGTATACCATTCAACTTTTTTAGAGCAATAGGGCCAACAAATAATATTAGACCAACTTTAAAAAATACATATATAAAATACCTAGTTTGTGAAAAAGATCATGGGTTGTGTTACGCGGCGCCTTCCTGAAGTTCCTTGGAAGGGCGACGTAAGGCTAGGCAACCGATGTCAGTACGGTTGCTGTCCGCCAACTGAGGTCCCCTCCGTACGCTAGACTAGATTGTCAGTGCCGTACGGGAAAACCAATGTCATGAGCAATTGAAAGAGAACAGAAAAGAGAATTGAGAATGAAAGAAAGCTTGATTGCATTGAATGAAAGCTATTACAGAAAACAAGACGGTGTCGGGGGGGAGAGACACCAGTACAGAGAATTGTTTGCTTGCTTGAAAGTTTTGATTGCTTGGTCCCCCTTAATAATGCTTAAAAAAAATAAACCAAAGTTACATGACTAGACCTATGAAAGCTGAAAAATCACACTTAAAGAAAATGCAGCAAAACTACTCTATATTTACAATGAAAAGGACTTAGTCTTCTACAAAGCAGCAACAAGTCCGTTGGCAGCACTTTGTCTTTAGCATCAGGGTCTGCGCGCGCGGCATTGTCTGCGCGCGCGGTGCTGTTGGCTTTTTCCTGTGGCTGGGCGTTGGCGATGGCTATCGGTGGGGCGACAGAGGCACATGCGCGCTTGTCACTTGGAGCTGCCGAGACCGTGGCGACGGGCGTTGGGAGGCTGGCCAGGACGCCACGGGGCGCGTCCAAGGGGTCATGGGGCATGGTTGGAAAGCCGCCCATGACAGTTGACGTACACCAGGACTATAAATCCATCCCTAGTTAAGCATATGCAATATATGCAATTTGGGACACAAAATGAAACTTTAAGTCAGGCCATCACAAATTATAACAATAGAACGATATTGCTTATGCAAATTCTATTTACACCACTGAACATGCCCACATAAATAAATCAATACGTACGATTTGAAAATATTGGTTGGCTTTCCGTATTAGTTTTGACGGATTCCATAGGATATAGTAAATTGTATTGAGTTTCATCTTTTACGTCTTTGAATTTATTAGATATATTAAACATGTAGCATGAACTAACAAATTAAATCTACGTCATTCATTATAAAATTGGAATACATGGATTCTACGAGAGAAAAATGGCCCACTCTCCACACAATAGGTAGAAGTTTATTTTGAGAAAGGGAATCACGTCTTGTGGAAATATGCATGATTATTATTCTAACTACTGATGTCAAAATCAAGTAGATATCTTTGAGCCCACAGTCATTAGCACCATGTGAAAGCTTTGTCTGCATGTTTAAATTGGGTTCACACTGCTATAGTCGATTGCTACTGTCCATTTAATTTGCTTTAGTTGCATTTTGAAAGAGATTCCTCTTTTCATTTCACTTTACCTAAAGATATTTAACTTGACACCAAATTTAGTATGTTAATTTAACTTATATACGTATATTATTGATGATAAAAGAAAATGTTAGAATACAACTGATTGGTAGAAGAGCAAACTTCATATTAAAATTGAAGTAAGAATAACTTAATGGATGTAAATATTCAAAAGTTGTGAAAACTTTATATAGAAATATAATTGTGTTAAACATTTTGAAACATCCCAAAATAGAAAGAGTTTCATACAAATTTAAACAAAAGAAGTGTGAGTTGTTTAAGTATTTAACGATATTTGTTGCATAAAAATAGAATCTAGTCATTTACCACTAGAAAAAGAACATAATAATTTTATGGTCATATTCTCTATTGAAGATATCAAATTCAATCCGACCGTGTAGTTCTGTAGTTGATCATCCCCTGTAAAAAAGGAACTGATTTTAAAATAATTTAAATTCTCTAAAAGTGTATGTAGCAGTAATATGGTATCCCTTATTATAAGGGTGAGCGATAGCCTTTTCCATAAGGTATTTTAAGGAAACTTTACTACTAAGTTCTACTTTCATTTACACTGGGCACTCAAGTCACATGTGAAGGGCCTAGTTTCCTAACAATTTACTATTAAGTCTTATAGTCTGGTCAAGCTTCTACAAAGTCAAAAATATTTTTTTTTTCTCAAAGTTTTAATGTGTGACAAGTTTTTAGAAGAAAAAAAAGTGTTTTTAAGTAGAAGCAGAAAAAAATAGTTTTTTTTTCAAAATTACTTTTTTGTAAAACACTTTTGAGAAAAATATACTTAGAAGCAATTTTTAAGAACTTTGACCAAATACTAATTGCTGCTCGGAAATAATTTTCATATTAATTAGCCAAACACAAACTGTTTCTCACCAAAAGTACTTTTGAGAAAAGCACTTATCAAAATAAGCTGAATTTTTCAGCTTGGCCAAATATGCTACTAATATGATATTGTTCTTCTGCTCTTAAATTATAATGATTCCACCCTTATTAAGTTTTATTTAATTTTCTACATTTTAACTAATTTAATCAATAAACACACTAAGAATGATAATAATAATAATAATAATAATAATAATAATAATAATAATAATAATAATAATAATAATAATAATAATAATAATAATAATATACATAATAGTTTGAAATTGAAAGCAAATAGGTCTTATATCGATTTTATGTTTATAACATGCAAAATGTTAAACTATCATTAGCTAGTTTAATATATAACGAATAATACTGATCAAAATGAACTACGTTTTAGGGGAAACAAGTATAAGTTTTAGAGCTGTAAAACTATTCAAAAGAATACTAGAACAATTACACCAACTTGGAAGGAAAATGCTAAAATCGTATAAACCGTTCTTAAGTAACCTCCTCTAAAGAAGAAAAAAAGAAAGATAAGGAAAGGTCTTTCACGTAACTGCGACTCCATTGTACCAAACGATCTATGTAAAGAAAAGAATTGGGATAGGCTAATGAGGGGGCTTGAATCTAATTAATTAATTATCCAACCAAATCCACTCTTCATCCTTCAATTTTTATGATCCATTTTGATTCGACTTCTCTTCACGTTTTCTTTAGGTCCTATTATGGAACATTTCAAACTACTCCTAGCAACTTGTAGTACTTTTATATTTAACTTTTATTGAGACAACCTGGCCCATGTTACGAATATAAACTATAATTATAACTTTGAAACAGAAATTTAATACTAAAAACACGTGAATCACGTAGTTTACTTTTTTCTTTCTCATCCCTCTTTTTGCAATATCAGTTACATTTTTTCTTTTTGGAAATATTAAATTGAGGCAATTTGGCACATTTTATGAATATTATAAGAATTACAACTTAGAAACAGAAAATAATATTTATAACACGTGAACCACTTCGTACACGATCTTCTTTGTTTATTCCCTCCCTTTTTTATATATATCCTTTGAAAAAAAAAATTGAACATATTAAATTGAGACAACTTGCCCAACCATATAAATTTTAATATAATTAGTACAGCTTAGAAATAGAAACTAATACTTAGCACGTTAAAGTGAAATTACGATGATTTAAATGGACTCCAACTGATCTCCCTGCATAACATCTACCTTGCTAACTAATTGTTTAATTCATATAATTAGTGGTGACAAGAAAATTGCGAAATGAGCTGCTACCACAAGTGAGGACTATACAGTTTTTTGGTTGAATGGTCTCATTAGCAAAACTCTGAAACAACCTCTCCGCCCTTCTAAGGGTAGAGGTAAGACTGCGTACATCTTATCCTCCCTCCCCATACCCCACTTGTGAGAAACTATTGGGTTTGTTGTTGTTGTTGGTCTCATTAGCAAAACCTATATAAATTTCCAATTCATATTTCATTAGAGAAGAAACACCATAATGCATATGAATGCAGGATATGTCAACAGATTGTTAAATGTGG